TTTTTTATTGCCACATTCATCTTTATTCCTTTATCTAGTTATTTCTACCCTATTCAGGTAAACATCCTGTGATGTTTTTCATGCCAACATGGCTCCCAGAGGAACAGATGGGCAGAGGTTAGCCTGTCAATCAGATGGAAGTTTGATTGGAGGGCAACTGAGATAAATGGCTCTTCAAGGCCTGTATCTTCCTCTTTATCCCTGATGATCAGACCAACGTGCTGCTGCCTGAGTTAGCTGCTTTGCCTCAACCACGTGGATTGTGGTGGATCGTGTCGCCGTGTACATCGCTATGTCTTGTGGCACCATTGCAACCTGCTAAACTAAGCTGTTGACCTACTGGCCTCTGCTACGTGGTGACATCTCATCTTCCTGTGGTTGCATCCCCACTTGCCTTGTCTGCTGCCTGCGGGCAGACTCTGCTTGTCTTGCATGTGGCCAGACTTCTACCTCCCACCAGCCACTGCTTCCTGTCTGCTTCCTTGACCTTGGACCAGAAGTGATCGTGAGTAGAAAGGGCCTTCGGTATATTAACTATCCCATGAAAGTGAGTCAGACGGAGTCCTCTGTTGTGCTATATGGACTAATTAATTGTTGTATTCCTTCTCACTATTTAAACCTATCCATATATATATATATATATATAAAATTATAATTGTCCTGGTTTTATTTCTCTAGAGAACCCTGCCTAACACATGTCCCATTTAACTCACTATCATAGTGTTTGTTTTCTTATAAAACAAACATTAATATCTTATACACTACATTTATACCTTTCATATAATGACATTGTATCATATATCAACTTCCAATATTAGATTTAATGTCCACAGTTTAACAAGTAGACAATAGTGTTAAAAAAAAGAAATATTACTGTAAAAGACTTAATATTCAGAAAAGATTTGTCTCAGTAATAGTTCTTTTTACATAATTATATTATGAATCAAATATATTCAAAAATATGTTTTTTAAATAATCACTTTATATCTCCAGAAATTTCACATACAAAAATAAGAAAAAAGTACACCTTTAAATACTGTTTTAAACTTCTTGGTACTCATCTTCTGGATAACTATCTTTTTCTTAATTGAAATACATAAGTAGAGAATATTATATTAAGGTTATTTTTAAGAGGTAGCATCCTCCACTTTGTCACTTTGTTTAAATTAATGATTATATTATTGCTAGGTTTTTTATGCAAAAGAGGGAGGAATAACAGCATCTATATTTTTCTCCACGAGACTCTCTGTGGGTGGTGTGTTCTGATTTGATTTAGACTTTTGATTCCTAGATTCTCAATATTTAATGTTGTCCCTCCCTTGAGCAGTTGAAATCAACACAATAGATTTAATTTTTTGTTTTGAGTCAGTCTTTGATTGCAAATGAACTACTTTGGGAGACAAGACTTTTAAATATTAGGTCCCTAAATGACATAGAATTTCACTAATTTCAATGATCATTGCCCAGACTACCACAAAGTGGTCCCAAAGGGTGGATGGTTGAAGTCCTAAAGGGAGATCCTCCTATAGAACCAATCCATGTTGGCTCATTCCCAAAGGAATTAAAAGAGAATTTGTACAAAACACTGTGATTCAGAGAATAGGCCACAGAGTCTTACAGAGCCCCTCAGGTTTCACAGTCAAGACCATGTAGTGATGCTCGCTGAAAACTAAATGCCGATGATTTTTCACCGGAGGTTAGTAGAAAATCTCTCTCTCTCTCTCTCTCTGTAAAATGGTCTTCAAATAATGCAAAATTTATATCTTAAAATAAGCCACATCAAATTATTTGTTGTAAGACACTAAGTGGCATGTGTAATAAAAGGATACACTGCTTAAGCAGTGGGTACAGGAAGCGGGAACTGATAGCATCCCCCCCTCCTTGGGGGGGATGAATAACAGAACTGTGGGTGAAGGGATACATTGGATGGTGTAAGATATGAATATATATATATATATATAATTTATTAAGAATTCACGAATGTGGTAGGGTGGGGGAGGGAGGGAATACAGTGGAGCTGATATCAAGGAGTTCAAGTAGAAAGAACATGTTTTGAAAATGATAATGATAGCATCTGTACAAGTCGCTTGATATAATTGATATATGGATTGTTATAATATCTGTAAAAGCCCCCAGTAAAAATATCAATTTAAAAAAGTCTGTGGTTGAAATTACCTACTTTTCATGCCTGTTGTGCATAAAATTTTTAAGCCTTCTTTTTTATATATATCAAAATAAAAACTTCATTTGTATAATAACGAAAATTTTCATTTCATCACTGCTAAGGATTAACTGTGGTACCTCAAAATAAGTGTTGTAATCCCAGCCTATGGCTATAATCATTGGAGCCATGGTGGCATAGTGGGTTCTATTTTGAGCTGCTAACTGCAAGGTCAGCACTTTAAAACTACCAGCTGTTCTAAGAGAGAAAGATGAGGCTTTCTACTCCCATAAAGAGTTACAGTCTCAGAAACTCATAAGGGCAGATCTAGCTTGTCCTATAGGATGCGATGAGTCAGAATCAAGTCGATGGCAGTGAATTTGGCTTTGGATGGGTATATCCTCATTTAGGAATACTGTGTCTTTTCTTGTTAATGAGACAGGGATAGCAGAATGTGTATTTTGAATCATTCTTTTACAAAATAGAAAAGGAACAGGATAAGTAAACAGAGATGGTGGAAGATAACTGCCAAGTCACATGAAAATCTAGAAGGTACCAGGGAACCATGGCTTACAAGACAAAGACCATCACTCAAAGTCAACAGAGAATGCCTTCCCTTAGAGATAGCTTTATAACCTCTATAACTGTGATAAAATAATAGTTTCTTTGTTAAAACTTTTCACTTGTGCTACTTGTTATTTCAGAAGTAGATAACTAAGAACATTTTAAAATTGCTCAAACATTTATATCGTAAACTCACCCCCAAGTCCACCAGACTTAAACATTAGTCACTCTAAATAATTTCTTAAACGATTCATAAGCTCCTAAAACATTACATAGTAATCATTATAATTAATCCCACCTTAAACTACTTTGTTGTAATATCAAACTATACTGTGGCTTTTCATCCAAATGCCAGATTACAGATTAAAAAAAAAAACTTCATCCTATCCCATTGCTCATACCTTTATATATATCTTATATACTCACTGCATGAATTTTGTTAAAGAAGACAACTTTACATCTTTATTTACAAATGTAGCTCTTTCCTTCTATCTCCAGTTTAAGTCAACCCAACTCTCTTGTTTCCCAGTCATTTTATAGCAACTTTATAACATGGCTCTTTATTCCAACCTCTACACCATTTCAAGGCTACAATTCATTGTTCTCATAGCATTCAATATAATACAGTAAAATCTGCAAAAGCTATAACCGATATAAGCTAGAAATCTGCTATGAAAAGAAAATTCAACACTGAAATGAAAGAAGATTCTTAGTAAAGTTGAATCAATTCTTAGATTTGTTGTTAATTCCCCACCTCCATCCCATAACTTGAGTTCAATAACTGACTTAGAATACTAAATGGCTCAAAAGGAGTAAATCTTTTCCTCTAACGGCAGTCCTAGAAATTAATTCCTTAAGGCTTTATGACTGTCTTTCCTTTTATTCTCCTAACAGATGAATTTTAAAACTCTTCTATGGCTTCTGAAAATCTCACCAGGGTGACTGAATTCATTCTCTTGGGAGTCTCAGTCCGTCCGGAGCTCCAAGTTCCCCTTTTCTTTGTTTTCCTGGTGATCTATGGGCTGACTGTGGCAGGCAACATGGGCATCATCACCCTCACCTCTGTGGACTCACGGCTCCAAACCCCCATGTACTTTTTCCTTCGACACTTGGCTATCATCAATCTCAGCAATTCTACTGTCATTGCCCCTCAAATGCTGGTGAACTTCTGGGTTAAGAAGAAAAGCATCTCCTACTACTGTTGTGCAGCTCAACTGGGTGGATTCTTAGTCTTCATTGTAGCTGAGATTTTCATGCTGGCCGCTATGGCCTATGACCGCTATGTGGCCATTTGTAACCCCCTGCTCTACATGGTGGTGGTATCGCCACAGATCTGCCATCAGCTAGTCTCCTTCACATATGTATATGGCCTTTTTACAGCTGTTTTGGTTCCATCTTGTGCATTCTCTATGTTTTATTGTTCTTCTAATGTTATCAACCATTTTTACTGTGACATCGTTCCTCTGTTAGCGTTGTCCTGCTCTGATACGTACTTCCCAGAGACAGTAGTGTTTATTTCTTCTGCCACAAATTTGGCTGTCTCCATGATTATAGTTATATTATCCTATTTTAACATCATCCTGTCCATTCTCAGGATACGGTCAGCATCAGGAAGGAAAAAAGCCTTTTCCACCTGTGCTTCTCATATGATGGTGGTCACGGTGTTTTATGGGACATTGCTATTCATGTACTTGCAGCCCAAAACTGACCATTCATTAGATTCTGATAAAATGGCTTCAGTGTTTTATACACTTGTGATTCCTATGCTAAACCCTATGATCTACAGCTTGAGGAATAAGGATGTGAAAGATGCCTTAAAGAGGTTCCTGTCAAACCCATGTGGTTCCTTAAAGTCAATGTAATTTTAGTTTGTGTGAGTAAATGATATGATGGTTAATGTAGGTTACAGGTTATGAATATAATGACCTTTTTATATAAACTGAATCATAGAGTATATAGTTGTCAGTGTCTGGTTTATCTCATTCTTTTCTTTTCTTTCTTTCTGCTTTCCATTTCATTCAGATTGTAGCCTGAATCTAAATCTCACTTCTTGTTTTTATTTTAGTACATGTATGACTTTTCAAAATTCCATTTACTATTCAAGTATAGGAGTTTATTGCCTCACAATTTTGGACACTGGAAGTTGAAACCAGGTGTTTACTCTAGGGAAGAAATGCATTGCAAGAAGAAGAGTCTTCACATTGTGTGTAGTTTCTCTTTGTTTATTTCTGTGCCTGTTTTCTCCTTTGTATAAGTCATCACTCTGGAGAGATTAGGCTCAGACTCACTCTTGCATGGCATCAGTAGCATAACAAAAGAAAGCTCTTATGTTGAAATGGCATTAGTTTGCAAATATAAGGCTTAGGATCACAACATAACTTTTTCTGTTTTAAGTTGGGATTTGATGTATATATCATATCATCCCATATTTCAATCACATCAAATAGAATGTATAATTTCTACCACAATCAATTTTTGAACATTCTTTTGCTACATGGACTCCTTCACATTGTTTCACTTTTACCCCACCACTGCCATCACTGTACCCCTCTCTGCCCAAACCCCTCATTCTACTTGCTTTCCCTATGGTTCATCAATCCTGGATTTCATAAGCCAAAAAATGGAAAAGACTATACCACAGCTTGAAGAAGATGACCTTCATTGACATAATGCCTTTGAATATACACTCTAATGTGAACAAACAAAAATCAAGGCACACAATATAAACCAAAAATACAGAAAATTTTGGAAACCAGATCATGTCCAGCCTGCATCATAGAGGGGATTTACCGATAATTTTTTAACTTTTCAGGTCAGATTTATGCCTTCAATCTTCTTTCACGGAAACTGTTAAAATAATTTCTTTTAGAAGGATCAACAAAAGGTTGGTCCCATTGAGGTAGGGGTTAAAATGTCTCATATGTCCAACTTGTGCAATATACTATCCTACGCCATCATGTCTGATAACAACCACCATTTCTCCCCTCAGTATCATCACTCACTCACACGAAATCAGGCAGATGACTCACAAGGCTCTGGAAACTGATGAATCAGGTCAGGTGATGTATTGGTTCAAGTCTCAAGAATAGCAGTCAGGCAGAGGGAAGCCTGACCATGACAAGTATGTAACTTCCTTCAAGATCTCCTGGGAAGTCTTCTGCTAATCCATGACACTGCAGCAATGGAGTGAAAATGTACCAGGTGGCCTAAGTTTTTAGTTCCATATGGACATTTACAGTGATTGAAACACATCCAATAAGTCTGTATTGTTGCTGTTAGGTGTTCATCAGCCTATTGTGGCTCACAGGCTTAAAGAAATCTACATATAACAGTAACAGCACACTAGTATAAACTTTATGGGAACAAGTCTATATTAACCTCCATCTAATTCAACTACAGCTCTGAACACCATCACAGGAGTGCAGATCTCAAAATACACAATCCTTCCCAGTTTAGAAATTTTTCTAATTTAACTACCTAAGGGGCATCTTTTTTTTTTTAACCAATGACATATTTATCATCAATACTGCCCTCCAGTCAGGGCTAAATAGCCTCCAATTAAAAAATAATAATTTTAGTAAAAACTTTTTATAATGAATATGTGAAGGTTTACAGAGCAGACCTCAGTTTTACATTCAACAATTCATAACACACTGTAATTCAACTCATTACATTCCCCTCATACTGTGACAGGAGACAATAATGAGGACATAGGGCCAAGAGACAGTGGGGGAGTGGCGTATAACAGAACAGCAATTTAAGTAAAGCCAAGCCACAGAGCCCCTAAGGAGGCCTACATATGGACTTTGGGTGAGGAAGGGAAGCCCTTGGATCTCCCTCAGGACCAGGGGGGACGATCTCATGTGGACCAGCAAACAGATCTGGACCTAAGAAGGGTTGTTTTTCTGTTTCTTTCTTTTTCTTTTTCTTTTGAGATAGTTAAAGTCTATTGTGCCAGTTCCCTGCTTCAGCTGCCAAGGCTCACTTCCTTCAAGAAGACATCCCTGAAGAGAAGCCACA